TTATTTTTAATTTATATATATATATATATATCTTAAATATCCTTAACGAAATTCTTTATAAAGAAACTACCAATAACAAGACCATATACCTGTATTTATTTAGACCAATTTCCAAATATCCTTTTTCAACTTTGACTTCAATCACTTTTTTTCTTTTCAAAATTCAACCAAATCATACCCAAATGACTATACAATATACTTCCTGTATATCGTTACAGTACAAAATTTTCACCAAATAAAAATATCTTGATACGTTAACATGATTTGATTTTGATAGTGTTATTCAATAACTTTGATATACATATATCTTAAATACTTTTAACAAAATTTCTAATTTCGTCAAAATAAAGAAACTAAAATAACAAGACCACATAGATGATGAACTTTGTATTAATTAATTTCATCTAGGAGTATGCCCCAACTAGTGCCATTACACAAAGCACACTAACACATGTTACATGTTAAGTCAAATCAAACTTTCAAATACCCTTTTTCAACTTCGACTTCAATCACTCTTTTTTTCTTCAGAATTCAAATTTTTCACCAAGTAAAAATGTTTTGATGAGTTTATCTCCCATTCCATCAGCATAAGGAAATAAATGACCACCACCTTTAATTTCATGATATTGAATCCATGGTAATTTTTGTGCAATATATCTTTGTAATATAACAGGTACTAGTCCATCTTCATCACCTTGCCATAAATGAACCGATCCTTCATTTTTATCAAATGGATTTTTTAAATCCATTGGATCAAATTCCCATGTACCAAATCCAATATTTACATCTCTATGGAGTGATTCAAATTCCCCTTGTTGTCTAATTTGTGCCTGAAAATTAATGGATAAATTGACAAATTAGTGACACTCAAATAAATTAATATCATAATAAAAAGAACTTGAACGACGAGGGGGGTTCAAATCTAAAATTTGAGGTTATTTGGGCAAATATTGAGCTAGTTTTGAATTGAATTTCAGTCCTAATTTGTTAGAGTTGAAGTAAAGTCATATATTGCGAGGGGAAAGAGAAATGTCGCCTAGTTTTACTAGATTCTTGTAACCTTCCTCCAGTACATGTACGTGATAACTTATCCCATCAAGACTTGGACAGAAGAGAAAAGATCACCTAATATTTTTTGACACAGAATTTTTGTAAAAATCATTAATATTTCAATGCCCATTTATTTTATTTTACGTGACATTATTTCCTCTTTAATAAGTTTCAATTAGAAAGAATGACCCCCTTTTGTAAAATATTTTATCTTTAAATTTCTCATTCTTTTTATCCTTCATTACATAATTTTTTAACCACACAAATATCATGACAAGTACCAAAAATCTTCTCTCCTAATCTTCGTGCCCAACCATATAAATTCACCTAAAAATGGAATCGAGGGAGTAATAAACCCCGATCCCAACATTTCAAAAGTATAATGAGTTCGGTGGCAAGAACATAAAGATTAAACCTATCAAACTAAAACCTTGAATCTACATCTATGCCAATAATTAGACGAAAGTCAATCATTCTTTCCTAACCTCCGTGCCCAGTTAAATAAATATCTAAAGTCAACCAAAGGAAGTACCAAACCTCCAAACTCATAATTTCAAAAAAAACAAACAAAAACGTAACGAGTAAGTAGTAAAATTATAAAAATTGAATAGCGTAATGGGTCAAGTTTAAATCCTGAATTCTCGCTCAATTAAAGTAAGAGCAAAGTACAAAATAATACTTACCCTGTATTTTTCTTGTGAGCCAGCAAATCTTGGTCCTAATTGCATATCTTGAGTTTTAAAAATATCAGGGCTATGAGCTGCAACACTAGAAGATGGAAAATATTTTTGAGTGTTCCACCAATATGTTAACCATGGAAGATAATGACCAACTCTAAGTGTCCATTGATCAGGCAAAAGTTGATCATAATATGATTTTGTTGACAAATTTGATGGGAAACTAGGCCACCAATAGTTAACCACAGGTGTTAGAAGTGCTGCTCCTGCCAATCTGTTACAACACGAGTTTACGTTACGTTATATACACTGATAGTATAAAAAAACAAATTCTACACTAACGCTTGTTCAGACTCTTCAAAAATGTTGACTTGTGTATGATGGAAAGTAGTGCAGTTTTGGAGGATCCGACATAGATGTGACAACAATTTTGGAGAGACGTTACAAGTTGAATTTTGTTTTAGTGAATTTTAACACGTGATAGCATGTCAATTACCGATTTTACCAAATTACTGACAAAGTACTTGTAAATATATTTTGAACCGTTAGTGCATCAACAATAAATGGTAAAAGAAATGCAACAACAACACATCCAGTATGATTCCACAAGTGGGGTTTGAGGAAGGTAGACATACGCAGAACTTACCCCTACCTTTGTGTGAGGTAGAAAAACTGTTTCCGATGAACGACCCTCAACTCAAGAAAAGTGAATAAAATGATCAATACCTGTGAGGAATATATTTGAGACATCCCCAAACTACTTGTCCACCCATGGAAAATCCAACAACATAAAATTTGGATCCCAATTCCAATTGATCTGCTAATTCTTCAATATCAAGAGCTAAACTCTTTGGTGTTCTTTGTGGATGAGGATCACTTTCCCCATAACCAGGTCTATCAATTGACACAATATATATTCCCAAACTCTCAATAACATCCTGCACCATAACATATTATTGTAGCAGTGTCGGAGTCAGAAATTTATACAAAAGGGCAGTACGTTACTCGGATTTCCAAAAATATTATCACACCTGTATCAGATTTACAATACATTTGGAGGATTAAATATGCCTCTGACGATATTTTTGAAATATCCGAGCAACATAACAAGGGGATTTATAAAGAAACTACAATAACTTGTGACCAACCTTAAAATATTGAACCCCCTTTGTCATTATACTATGTCTTTCCGAGGTGATTCAACAGTTTATATATATATGTAAAAAAATTATTTTTTTCTTTTATCCGCACGATTGAACCCCCTAATTCCTACCTTGCTCTGCCCTGCCTAAAAAATTGAGAGAAAAGAGTTCGAATAAACCCCCTTCCACCCTTCAAGGTCTGTTCCTGCCTACGACAAGCAACCGCGGAGCTAGGAATTTATATGTCTAGTATTTGAACTTGTGACCAAAATCAATTTTTGTCACTACACTAGGATTTTTTTTTTGACCAATAAAAACTCATTTTTTCTCTATCCTTACAATAAAAAATTTCAACAAACGAGATTAAACTGAACCCCCACCCTTAGTCCTACCTAGCTCCGCCCGTTGCCTACAAAATTGATAAGAAGGGTAAAAAGGGAATTACTTTAGAAAGGCCGTTGGCAATAACAACATCATGTCTACAACCATCAAATCCATGGATGAACACAATTTTGTACTTTGCTTCATTTTTCGAAACACCTTGCTCTTTATACGCCAAATGCCTTCCATCGAAGAGTTTTATTCGTGGTGCAGTGATGGGATTGCCACCGGGGGAACCACAAATTTTCGGAGGAGGTGGTGTAATTGCTTGATAAACATATGCCAACAATCCAATCAAGAAAAGTACAAGAATTTTCCTAGTCATACCTGAAATGGTTACAAATTTAGTAACTAATTTTTAGAGCTAAAAATCAAGAAAACAAGTTAAAATTTTCATTAACAATGCATAAATAAGCAAAATTAAAAAAAAAATGAAACAATTCCATCAAGATTGCAATAAATTGAATGAATGACAGTTATAAATGTTTTACCTACCTCCAGTATAACTATTTTTGACATTGGCATTAAAGACGTGTGGTCTAGTGATAAATAAAGAATCAGACGAAAAAGATAAAATGAAAAGGTCATATCTTTCCATCTGACTAATTAAATATTGGAGGATAGAGTTATTCGGTACATGTACTGATAATCTAGAGATAGTACGTACCCGATAGAATAGTCTAGGTGTTCAAAGTGACCGTTACTAAAATTAAATAACAAGAAGAATTTTGTGCATTTACATTTTTTTATCACCTTGCTCGCATCTCAACTATCATATATGTTACTACTAAGATCTAGACATATGAAAAGATATTGACTTGACATATTTTTGTCTCCACTGAAATTTTAAACACCAAATTCTCGTAATTTTCACTCATTTCATTAACCGCTAGACACTTTCCTTTGAAGCAAATTGAGGGATGCAACACAAGACCTTCCTCTTATTAATTCAAACATATTACAACCAACAACTAAAGCTAAATAAAAAAAAAAAATCACAAGTTTTTTCCACATAAAAATGCTTAGACTATGTTTCTCCAATAAAAATATAGCAGCATTTCAAATATATATGAAGAAAAAAAAAAGAAAAAAATGAAGAAGAAAGAACCTGAGGTAGTAGGGGACTCTGCCATTTTTGTGAACTTAGTGAAATAATAGTGGTGACTCTTGTAGATGCCCTTGTTTTATAGGAGTTATAAAAGATCTAGAAGAGAGAAGAGCTACATGGTTTGACTAATAGACATGTATTTGGCGGATTCAGAATTTTAACTTTATAAATTCGTCTTTTAAGAATTTTTAATATATTTTTAAAATTTATAATATTTTTTATGTTTGAATTCACGATTAAATTTAGACTGTTTGACTCTCAAAATCTGAATAGCGTTATATAAATTGAATAGAGGAATTAATTATTTCTAAATACAGGAAGATATCTTTCTTTTTAAAAACAAAATAGCAAGGTAAGTGTATCTCATATATTGAAATAAAAATAGTACTGATTGTTACTCCCTGATTTTTCCCAAATTTATCTAATGTTATATTTGTTTTTGTATGTCTTAAATAGAATGATATATTTTTAAATTTAAAAATAATTTAATTTTAAACTTCTCATTATAGCTATAAAGTATCTTTCTCTTATCTTAAAGCATGTATTTGAAAAGTTGTTTTTAAGTGAACTTTATATATGTTCAATCAAATATTATCATATTAATTAGAATAAAGAAAATATATTTATTTCCTAATTTTCAATAATAAAAGATATATTTTATATTTTAATTAATTTAAATAAAATCGATATTGAATCCGCCCCTAATAAATACAAGGTCAACTTGTTATACACTTGTCAGTTGTAACCCCATGTGCACTATGCAGTTGGTTCACCTAGGAATATGAGGGGGTGATAATATCAATGTATGCATTTTATTTTATTTATTATTACTTATTTACGTCTTTTGCTTTTTATTTTAAGTGAATTAATATTTTTTGTGTCAATTTATTGTAGGCAAACGTCGAATTTTTAGAGTTAAATATTTGAATTTTGGTTGAGGAGATAAAAAATTTTCTTGGTTATGAAATTTATGTTTTCAAATACTCCCTCTTTCCTTAATTACTTGTCCACTTTTAAATTAGCACACCTATTAAGAAATCAATTATTGACATAGTGAATTTACCATTGTACCCTTTATTCCTATTAATTATGAAGTGATGAATTAAAAACTTAAGATTTTCAAGAAGTTCTATCTTTTTCAAAGTAATTAATTGAGGGTATAATAAGTAAAATTATTTTGTCCTTTCTTGATTTATCAAAATGGACAAGTAATTAGGGACAACTATAAAAACAAAAGTGGACATGTAATTAGGGACAGAAGGAGTACTAAGTTACTTCCTCTGTCCTTAATTACTTGTCCACTTTTCCTTTTTTGGTTGTCCCTAATTACTTGTTCATTTTGACAAAATCAAGAAATAAAATAATTTTACTTATTATACCCTCAATTAATTACTTTGAAAAAGATAGAACTTCTTGAAAATCTTAAGTTTTTAATTCATCACTTCATAATTAATAGGAATAAAATAGTAATCTCATTGTGTCATTAATTGTTTTAGTAATAGATGTGTCAATTCAAAAGTGGACAAGTAATTAAGAACAGAGGGAATATAAATTATAATAATTGCACATGATATGTTTTTTTTGGTTTCTCACTCGATGTTTGGAGTCCACATTGGGGCTTCGACTAAATTTGGATTAGGCATTGCAGGGCCTATTTGGGGGTGATGCTCTCAACATGATTTTATCCATAATCAGGGCTCAAATCCGAGACCTCTGATTAAGGGTGAAACACTCTCATCAGTGCACCACAATCCATATTGGTCACATGATATGTTAAAATCATAAGATTCAACTAATGTTTTAATATGTTATAGCTATTTTTAAATTGAGATTATAAAATTTTAAAATTCTTTTTTTTTTAAAATAATAATAATAATTGATCATGTCAAATCAAATAACATAAAAAAATGGGGAAGTATGCTATATGGACCACTTGGCCTTGGAAAAAATTGTACTAGTCAAATTAAGAAATTCTTCATCACGCAAATTGAGATATTAATTTAATGATGAATACTTAAATGAAATTTAGATGTCTAGTAGTAATTAAATGAAATGTAGATGTATAAGCAATAAATAGTTTTATGTATACATGTCAACGAAAAATTAGAGTTAACTATATAAATCTTTAATATTCATCGATTATATTAATCATATTTGACTAAATTAATTTGTGTTAGAAATCATTTTTCGTTTAACATAATTAATGTGTCACATATTTTGAAGTATTTTGGAGTACTTTTCATTCAACGTGTTTTACACTTTTCTAATATAAAGGATCACAAAAATTCAAAAATTATTTTATTTTTTTCATTATTCTTAGACTATTTTCATTCAAACCATAGAGAGATTAACATGCTTTGGAGATATGATTGTGAAACACGTTAAATAAAAAGGTCATAGGACTTGTGAGTTGTGACTGATAAAATTAACCCATGAAACACGACATAAGGTCAACTTATCGGGTCAATAATTTATTTATTTATTAACTCAATTTATTTTAAAAAAATATTAACTAAAAATTATAAAATTTGATCTCGATAATAAATAAATAGCACATAAATTAAAACATAATAAATTTGGCCAACACCATGTGCACTCTGCCCTTTGGTTACCAAAGAAGATCCCACTTTTAGATAGGAAATCTTATTTAATGGATTACTCTTGAGAATGAAGAAGAATGTAGTACTCTCAAAGGACCCTGAGTTATTGATTTAGCGGTTTCGGTAATAGTTTTAATTTTTTTATTATTAGATTATCGATTCTTAATGGTTTGAAAATTTTCTTAATGAGTTAATTGATATTTCGATAGTAAATTAATAAATTATATTTATGTCATTCAGTATATAAAGTCTTTGATTAAGAGTTTAGTTTCATACTTTTATTTTTTTGTAGTCTCTCAAGTTCTTGATTATTCTACAATGTGTTAGTATTTGCTTTTGAGCAAGATACAATCTCTCAATTCTTGTGCATTGTTCATTTGGCTTTCCATCTTATTTCTAAGCGTTTTTTAGTGACTTTTTTTATGTCAAATCTGAACGGTTAAACCGATAACTATCAATAGCAACGATCGATAAATCAATATCTTAAAGATTGTATAGCAATTTAATAACCGCTAAATTAAATCAATAAACTATAAAATCAAAATAAACCGACCGAAACGTCGCTCTAGTAAAAAATAATATATTACTAGTAATTGTTAAGTATTTAAATATGTCAAATATTTCTATGTTATATGTAGACGTCATTATGGAAATGATTAAACTTTATATTGATTATGGCATTGGGCCGGCATCTCTAAGCCGCCACTTCAAGACTTTGGTTTCACTATTTTATTTTTTGAATTTTAACTCAAAAGATGGTTCAATTGTACTCGGTGTTTAATGATTATATTGAAGTTCGATTAAATTTTGATTTGTACTGAGAAGTTCTACGTTAAGGAATAAAGCACTCTCTAATAAATATAACTCTATATATGAGAAGATATGAATTTGAGACTTTTGATTAAAAATGAATGAGTACTAACCATTTTATCACAATTTAACATCAAGTCAAATATGCTTTTTACCTCTTTTTCATTTTGTCTTTAATTATGTTTCTTTTTTCCAATGCTTTCTACTTTCTAGACATTTTCTGACATTTACATTTGATTATTTTACACAATATGTGACATTAAAAAAAGTAACACAACTTGTAGATGATTTGCAGATTTCTCATGCTTTTGAAAACTCTTCTGATATACAATAAAATATATTTTATTTAATTATATTATTATATAAATATAAATAAATCATATCATTGTCCACTATAATCCAATTTTTAGGAGAATTAAATATGACAGATAAAGAATATATGTCTTGAGTATGGAACACATGTTGGATTTTATTGTCATGACAAAATCTTTCCAAACCCTAAAATAATATGCTACACACTATTATTTTTTATTTTTCGGCTTATGGCTCGATCTGTTTTATGGTTTGATTAATTTAAATTATGAATTTTTTGTCGATTTTTTTTGAGATAGTATTTAGTAAATTAGTTTTTTTTTTATATTTCTCTTGTGACTTAAGAATATAAATCTTGTAAAAAAATGTTGGACTACGTCACAAAAATTTGCAATTGATTTTGTTTTGACCATTATTAGCCGTACACACAAAATACAAAATAGATTTGGTTAATTAAGAAACATTTTTTTTAATTTAGCAATTTCTTTTAATTTTTCTAAAGCACATTAGTTAAAAAATTTCCTAATTATACTGAAAACTACCTAATTAGACCTATATCTCAAATAATTACATATCTTATCACTAATTAAGAATTTCCTATTATATATTACATAAGATACACCTAGATATTTATTTTTTTTGCTACCAGATAAATTAAAATAGGGAGAGAGGCCAGCGAGATAGTCATGTATCTCAGATACATAGGAGAGTGGCGATCGAGATGGGAGAGATGTGGAGCGGGATTTGTTATGAATCTCAGATACATGCGAATTCGTTTGGATACAGTGTATCTAAGAACAAACTACACCTAATTTTGACTCCATGTATTCCGAGATACATGAACCTAGACGTATCTGAATGCACCAAAATCTGATAGAAGTCATAATATTATAAATTAAAGTGTATCTAAGTAATTGATTATATTGAAATCTAACAAGTGCCAAAATAACATAATTAGAAAATATATAAAGTTTGACAACAAATCACTTCATTATTGAATAATAATTATATAAATATATCAAATATAATTATTGCAAACACTTTGATTCACAAAAAAAAAAGATAAATTTAAGTAGCTAGAGAATAAGTAATAACAAAAACGAACCTTTAGATTCTTTTCGATCAACCGCAGAAAGTAACGCATATATCCTATAGGATATTTTCATAACTAACTTTTAGATTCACGAACTTGAAACAACAAACAAAAACCTCAAACTTCAATTTAATTTTCAAACTTTTTTTTGGAAACTCTTAAATGATTTCTATATCTTTTGTGTGTTTATATAATTGTGTGTGTGGAAGGGGACGTCCTTTTTAGCTTCTTTTTTTTCCCATTTTTTAAAAATTCATATCAAAGAAAAAGTTTTCTATTAATTCAAATATCGTATTTATGATCCTTACTTTGTCTTTTTTTTTTCTTCGTCCTTTTCCCTTTTTAGCAGTCAGAAATTGAGGATTTTCAATCGTGTATCGAAGACTAAGTCTTCAATACATACTCAACAAGACGAGGAAATAAATTCATCATTTCACTATAAATAAATTAAATTTCTTATAAGAAAATGCTTAATCATGATCGACAATGTTGTAAGTTATTACTAATATTAGACAACAACCTAATTTTTTGTCTATAAAGTTGGACAATATTGTTTAGAAGAACAATATCTAAATGATGACCTAAAAATCGTTTTGCTCTTAAACAAGGCAAATTAAAATTCAATGTTAAATTTCAAATATCAGATGATTATAAAAAGAATAATAATATCAAATCAAATAATAAGTTCTACTATATAATAGAAGGGAGTTTAGGCCCAAGTATAATATATAATATTCAACATTGGGACTTTTCCATTTGTGACATATATATATATTTTGTCTACTATATAATAAAAGGGAGTTTAGGTCCAAGTATAATATATAATATTCAAGATTGGGACTTTTTTATTTATGACATATATATATATATATATATTATATTCTACTATATAATAAAAGGGAGTTTAGGTCCAAGTATAATATATAATATTCAAGATTGGGACTTTTTTATTTATGACATATATATATATATATATATTATATTCTACTATATAATAAAAGGGAGTTTAATAACTCACAATAATTAATAACTTAAAACATTTTTAAAAAAAATATGAAAATTTGGATGACTCTCCAAATTTTATTTGTGTCACATAAATTGAGACAACAAAAATAACATATATTGGGTCCATTTTAATTTATTCGTCTTATTTTTTTTTTTTGTGTTTTTTATATTTAAAAATTGCGTAAAAATACTATAAATCATGATAATTGACAACATCAAATATGTTTTGAAAAAAACACAAAAATTTCCACTAATTCTTGAAGTGAATTTATCGTAAAAATACTATAAATCATGATAATTGACAACATAAAATATTTCAAAAATATTATATGTGGGTAGTCTTATTATTTCTTAAATAGCGTCAAAGAAAGTACATGTTTGTAATAAAAAAACTTATTCCTTTATCTACGCAAACAGTCGCTTCAAAAACTCCGTTATTAGCCTCAAAATATACTATTTATATTATTCGACCCGTGCATAGCACGGACAACATTATCTAGTATAATAACAAGAGAGAGACCAAAACAAAAAGAGAAACAATAATTCTCAACTTAATTAATTGGCAGGCTACGACAGCTAGCATTAAAGGTTTGGGAATTTAAAAAGTATATCTTCTTGTAGCATAATATACACAATATTATTTTTATTTTAAAAAATATATTTTATATGCAGAATTAATTGTTTGATTTGAAACAAATATTTATTTATTATAATATTAAATGACGAAATAAATACACTAGCCGCCAACCCTATTTATAACTTGCCCAGGCAAGGGGGGACCTACCTAAGTACATTAATTTCGAGCTCATTTGAATTCAATAGTTTTAATTTAAACACGTATTATATGATTAAAGAATTTATAAATTAGTATTTAAAATAAATTATAACTCAATAAATCAAATAAGTAGAATTTCAAACGCAAACTAATAAAATTCAAATGAGTTTATTTCACCCCAATCTACATAAAATTTAAACTAAAATTATTGAAGTCTATTAAACGCGTAACTATCACTCTTGCTCCGCCCCTGTCTATAGGTTATTAAGGCTGCTTCAAACAAAGTCGTGCCTCGTTTTCATCGTCAAGTTGGGTTTTCCTGTAGATTTGTTGGCTTATACTACTCCCTCCGTCCCTATTTAGTTGTCCTTATTTAGTTGTCAATTTTGACAAATCAAGAAAGGACAATAATTTTTTTCCTATTATACCCTTATTTAAAGGGAAAAGTTGTCATAAATAAAGTAAATAAACTTATAAACTTTTCAGCATTGATTAGTTATCTTGAGTGAATTTATTTTGGAAGTAAATTGTACTATAAGGATAAAATTGTAACTTCACTATGCAAATTATTGTTGCCTTAATCTGTATGTCATTTCTAAAGTGCACAACTAAATAGGGACGGAGGGATAACATTTATTGAAACCGATATCGGTATGTTGTCACAATTATATTGATATACGTGTACGTTCAAGATTAGAATTGTGTACACGATGATATTTTTAATTCTTATTTCGAATTGACGTTAGTAAATATTGCCTAGTCTAAAGTTGTTTTCAACCCAAATTTCATATTCAACCAGTGAGTACATCAGAATAGACTGTTTGTCTACTTCACAAGTTGTTTCATCGACTCTGCTAATGCGGAAAAGCTTTGTAAAACTAAGTTACTTATGGATTTATCTGCATTTACTATTTTTAATATTTGTTTACGTGCATAGGACGATAATTTATTATAAAAAAAAATATGACTATATAATAGTTTGATTGAGAAAATCAATACTTATTCAAATTAAAAAATCGAATCCGATGTGATTGAATTTTATTTTATCAATTATAAGATGTTTGAATTAGAGACTAAATCTCAATACAATGAAATATAGAACAAAAAAAAATAAATTTTCAAATAGAGTACATATAAATTGCAAGAACATTTGTTATGAGAACTTTAATCTATGTTGCTCGAACCCTTAAAGAATATTGTCGCATTTGTGTCAGATTCTCCAAAAATACATTCATTTTGGATGATCCGACACATGTTCAAAGATATTTTTTGACGAGTTCGAGCAGCATAGACATTTATAGAACGAAGGTCTCTCCAAGTAGGAATGTCTTCAAAATCTTATCTCCCATTCCATCTGCATAAGGAAACATGTGACCACTACCTTTAAGTTCGTGATATCGAACCCAAGGTAGTCGTTCTGCAACATATCGTTGCAGAACGACTGGTACAAGACCGTCTTCATCCCCTTGCCATATGTGAACAAAGCCTTCATTGTTAGGGAACGGGTCCTTGAGATCCATAGGGTCGAATTCCCATGTCTTAATTCCAATTATCATGTCACGATGGATGGACTCGAACTCCCCTTGTTGTCTAATTTGTGCCTGAGGCCATGAATGAACATTTTTTCGATACTCAAACATGTAATATACTAAAAATATACAGTTATATACAGAAAATTTAAAAATAACAGAGTATATAGAATGTACATCAAGCAAATATAGCACACTAGAAATAGCTTTTTTAGTACTGACACTGCGGAACATTATGCAAAGTTGTACATAAAGGAGATAGACAGACTACATGGGACGCCCGTCTCCATTATTTCAGATAGAGGGACACAGTTAACAACACACTTTTGGAAGTCGTTTCAGAAAGGCACTTAACATCAAGCTCTCCCTTAACATATATTATGTTCTTTTTTTCAAATGAACGAACAATGGAAAATGAGGGCACGAGAGAAGGGGAACGTACACTCGAGCATTAATTTGAAGTCTTGTTACAACTACGCGATAGCTATTCATTATAAACTTGTGTACTACATTATACTAACAAGATTAACACAATCAAGTTCTCACCCGATAAGGTTCTTGCGAGGCATCAAACCTCGGGGCTAATTGTCTGTCCTCAGTTGAAAAGATATTGGGGCTGTGAGCTGCAACGCTAGAAGAAGGGAAAAACTTCTGAGTGTTCCACCAATAAGTCAGCCAAGGAAGATAGTGAGCAACTCGAACTGTCCATAGATCCGGGGCTGGCATATCGTAGTATGATTTTCCTGTCAAATTTGCAGGAAAACCCGGCCACCATATGCCAGCCACAGGCGCTAGAAGCCCTGCTCCCGCCAATCTGTTACACATTTGTTATGTGAGTTGACACAATTTGCAGACAAAATAGCATCTATTACAACAACATACACAACGTAGTCCCATAAAGTGGAGTCCAGGAAGAGTAGATTGTACGCAGACCTCAGAGGTAGAGAGACTATTTCCGATACATTACCTATGAGGAATATATTTAAGACAGCCCCAAACTGCTTGTCCACCCATGGAAAATCCTGTTACATAGAATTTGGATCCCAATTTCAATTGATCAGCTAGCTCCTCAACATCGAGAGCTAAGCTCTTAGGCGTTCGTTGTGGATGAGGATCACTTTCCCCATAACCTGGTCGATCAAACGAAACAATGTATATTCCCAAACTCTCAATAACATCCTGCACCATCATAAGAATTAGCGACAAACAAATTCTATAGTGACCTATAACTACGGTGTCGGAATCAGGAATTTATGAAACTAACTACAATGTCACATCTTTAGACCCCTTTGCCATTGCACTAGAATATTTTCAAAACATAGTATAATTTTTTGATGAATAGGATACACAATTGAACCTCGATTTCTTATTCCTACCTAGCTCCACGCCTCCACCCCCTGCCTACAAGATCGCGAGAAAAGAGAAGGTAACAAGTGGATTACATGAGAAAGTGTGCTGGCAATAACAACATCATGTCTACAACAATCAAATCCATGGATGAACACAATTTTGTACTTTGCTTCATCTTTCGGAACACCTTGTTCCTTATACGCCAAATGCCTTCCATCGGAGAGTTTTATTCGTGGTGCAGTGATGGGAGGGCCTCCTGGGTAACCACAAATTTTCGGAGGAGGTGGCTTAATTGCTTGATAAGCAAATGCCAAGAAACCAATCAACAGAATTACAAGTATTTTTCCAGTCATACCTGAAGGGCCAAAGCACAATATGGAAAATAAAGACACAAAATGTTTGTTACAAATCTCACATCGGCAAAACACAGGAGACATGCTATAAGGAAACAAACATTAAACCCTACTGACGCATTTTAAAGCCGTACAAGCCTAGGTTCAAAG